AATTTTTTTTTTTTTTTATTTAATGACTATTAAAAAAAAAAAAAAAAAAAAAAAAAAAGAATCACGATATGTTCGAATCTATCGAATAAAATGAAAGAACTAGTAGTAATCGTGATTATCATGGGTGTAGCACAAGTGTGCGCCGTGACAATTGGTTTACTTAATAACGAATGTCTTTTTTATTAGAACTGAAAAGGAATCACGGGGGTACGTCGAACGAATGTGAACGAATAAAATTTCTCTTAACAATAGGATCGGATTAATTCTCCCACGCTGAGGGCGCACGAGGTCCGTGAAAATCGTCCCGTTCGACGCTAACTAATCGATTTTGAAGACTCGCTGAGGTTGAAAGAAGAGTTAAGCCTTGGTGGTCCTGCCACGGCCGTCATGCTTCGCCGAGAACGAACGAGAAGGGCCTGCCTTCTTCTTTCTTCTTCCTATTTCCTTCTTTTCTTCTTCTCTTCTTCTTCTTCTTCTTCTTCTTCTTTCTCCTCATCCTTCAACGTGAAAAAAAATTCCAATTGTTTTTCAAGAGTTTTGTCTTTTTTTTTTTTTTTTTTTTGATATCTCTTCTGTTTAAATCACGATTGAATTAGATTCGCAAATGGAAAATAGAAATAATATCTATTGTAAAATTTTATTATAAGCATGACAAAAAATTGAGAAAAATAAAGGCTTAAACCTATTTAAAAAAAAAAAAAAAAAAAAAAAAAAAAAAGAAAAAAAAATTTATTAAACGTTCGATAAATCATTGAATTCTAATTCAGTTAGTTTGAATTCTAAAAAGTCATAACAGTACATAAGTTACTAGACGATTAATGAAAGAAAGATAAATACATGCTAGGCAATAAATCCATATGGAAAATATAATTTCGAGTTATTACGATACTCGAACTCAGCTACCGACGATATTTACGTTCGTCCAGCTAGTTAGGCCTATTGGCATTTACACCTGCGCCCCATCCTTCTTCGTTTTCCGCGAAGGAACACGCGCCTGCAATTCATTCTCAGCTTCGCTTCAAGACTTCGCTTAGGTTCTCGATCGAGTTCTCCCACTTTATCGTAGACCGTATCGGCATTAATTTATCGCCTGGTACCCGCAGAGACGGCATTAGAAAACGAGAAATCTCCTTGGACGTACAACATACATACTATACTAATCATGGGGGAAAGCCAAATGCGTTCGACTCGATCGATTAAATAACAAGGAGACTTCGTTTCGTTTAACGTTTCGTGATCTCTCATGAAATAATCTCATTTCATATATCTATTGATCTTAAAGAAAAATTCTAATTAACGTTGACATTTTAGATAACTATTAGCGAACTCTTAATTAAGACATTCTATTTTCAATTAATACAAATATATACAAGTAACATATATATATATATATATATATATATTTATTAATAATCGATGAAAGATCATTTTACACTTAATAAGATTAATCCGTCGACAATTTATATTATAGAAAGAAGATTAATGAAAATCAATAGTAACGAGTTAAAACATTTAGAGAAGATCTATAAAAATTATAACGTAATATAATTAATTGGATACGTATCTGATCTGTTACAAAAAAAGGAAAAAAAGAAAAAAAGAAAAAGAAAAGAAAGAAAAAACTGATCAAAGGATCCCGTTAAAAAAAAAAAAAATCATTTTATCTCCTTTGAAAATAGAAAAAGATAAAATGATTGCACTTTATCGTACCTCAATACTCCCACCTTATATCAAAACGTTCTATGGTATGTTCTACGGTTCATAAAATCGCGTACACGAGCAGAAAGCTATAGTATAAAAGCCAGCAACAAGCGAACTAGCTAACAAGGAATCTTTTCGAGATGCATCAACCCGTTGGTTGGCTCTCTCTTTCTCTCTTTCTCTTTCTCTTTCTGGATGTTACTACTGCTACTGCTGCTGCTGCTGCTGCTGCTGCTGCTGCTGCTGCTGCTGCTGCTGCTACTGCTGCTGCTGCCGCTGCTGCTGTTGCTGCCGCTGCTACTGCTGCTGTGCTGGATCATTGCTGCCCACTCGTTTTCTCGTCCATGTTCACAGAACCGAGTCGTGAGTTTAAATTTGTGAAAAGTTCGAGCCGTCTGACGATTTCGTTTCGCATGAAACGCAATGGCTCTCTCCACGATATTTTTCTCTATCCTCTCTTTCTCTCTTCTTACGAAAAAAAAAAGAAAAAAGAAGAAAAAAAACCATCTTTTTCTTTTTTTTCCTTTTTTCTTTCATTTCATTTCCTTCCTCTTTTTCTCACTTTTAACAAACCCTCCCCCTCCCCACGCTGACTCTTCCATTGTGCTCGCGAGGTAATTTAAACGGCTACGAGAAAGTACAGAGTAACGAATCACTTATGCGAGAGATAAATAGCGTTATTATATTTAGTTTCAGCTAATATTATTTTTCAATGAATATTGAATTTCTAATATAACGTAAACGTGTCCGACTTATTAGTATAAAAAAAAGAAACAAAAAAAAAAAAAAAGAAAAGGAAAAGTAATATAATAAATTTTACATTCTATCAGAATAATGAATATCTCGATTCGAAATCGAAAAAAAAATTTCTTTTCCAAATATTATATTTATACTATCGAGATAATGAAACTCTATAAAAAATCTTCGCCAATATGATCCTAAAAGATGAAAAATGTGATATGACGAAGAAAAAAAAAGGAAAAAAAATGGAAAAAAAAAGAAATGAAAGGACGATAAATTAAATTTTTGGCATGGAACGAAATCATATCGCCGAAAACTTTACGAGAGAACATAAACTTTGAGACGGTAATTAAAAATCATATTTATATGTATACTGAAGAAAAATAATAAAAAATACCAAATACTGTGGAGAAGCAGCTGTAAACGAATCGTAAAGACATCGACTCTGGAATATGATTGCATCGTAATCGAAACTAGATTTCGATCTTCCCCTACTCTCTCTCTCTCTCTCTCTCTCTCTCTCTCTCCCTTTCTCTCCCTCATCTCTCTTTTTCTCTCTTTCTTTCGCAATTCACCAAAAAATTCCAACTCGCGACCGTAAACGTTCATCGAAAGAAGAATCCCATGGAAATTACTTCGTAATTTTCGAAGGATAGCCCTCGTACGTTCGAAATATCACAGCATGAACTCGTTCTCGCTCTTCTAAAGGGCTCACCCTTTTTTTCACAAAATCCCTTTCTAAGGACGACCATAATCCGACGAATTCATCGCACGTGGATTTTAACGCTGACTACCTTCCTCGATTTTGGTACCGGCTTTAAAAAAACCGAATGCGTTTATAATATTCAACAGTGAAGATCCTTCTCTGTGTGTGCATGTATAGATATATATATATATATACATATATATATATATATATATATATATATATATGCACTTTTCTTTTTTTTCTCTCTCTCTCTCTCTCTCTCTTCTTTTTCTCTTTTTTTCCCTTGTTAGCAACGTATGCCTGGCATAATGATGCGTAAATTGTACGACGACGAGCTCGATCTTCTTCTTCCGTTACCTCTACCATCGGACTCATTCGAATGAAGCCACGCGACGCGATTCTGTTATAATCATACGAATAAAATTTCTCTTTTTATCTTGTCGCTTTTCAAACGAGCACACGAAAGAAGAAGTCCGTATAACCAAACTGTACCGACCAACTAATGAATTTCCTTGTATTGCTGTTATATGGGATCGTTTTAGGTACGAGTTGAAATCGGTTAATGAACCGCGTATCAAGTTTGTTAATTGATCTCACGAATACGACGATTAAATATATATATATATATATATATATATATATATTTATACATATATATGTATGTATATATGTAATATGTGTATATGTATGTATGTATGTATATACATATATACTTAAATGATGTGCTCTTTATTAATTACATACTGTCGTCCTCACACTTTAATCGCAAGCCGAACAAATTACATCCCAAATGTTTTAACGTCTCAATGTATAATAATTATAATTAACGACTTTAGATAAGGAATGACCTATTTAAAGGAATAACTTGTTATCATTATGAAATTTTAATATTCCCGTACGGAATGAAACAAAAAGAAAAAAAAAAAGAAAGAAAGAAAGATGAAAAAAAAAAGAAAAAAGAGAGAAAAAAAATTCGTATGAGGTTCAGTGCGAATAATTGTATATAAAAATCGAGCAAATTATACCGGTTGTAAGTGGAACGATTAGAGAGGACCGATAAGGTTATGTCCAAATTAGGATTCTCACGTTCCTGTCGTTTGCTCGAGAAATTACGAAAGTGACGGTAAGAAACGATGATAAAAAGTATCTCGTTAATTTGCTTGCTTGGTAAAAGGGCGAGGTAAGAGAAAAGGTGGTGAGAATTCTTGGTCGATCATGGTCGTCGAAAGGACAGGCTTTCTTTGGACGTCGATTCGATATGCGAAAAAGGCGATACGATTTCGCTACGTCAAACATAAGAAGAGAAAGAGAGAAAGAAGGAGAGAGGGAAAAAAGAGAGAGAGAGAGAGAGACAGAGAGAGAGAGAGAGAGTGAAGAAGAGAGATATAGAGAAGGAGAGAGAGAGAGAAAGAGGAAGAAGCGTCGAGCGTGAAAGTTCTTCGCCTTGCGCGCTGATTATCCAATTACGTCGATTTCAACGAGACAAACGAGCTCGGAGCTCCTACGGAGAGCTTGCCAGATGTCATGGGATTACGTTCGCGATCGGTTGAACCAGGCGGCGAAACTTTGAAGCGAATAAGCCAATCGGAATATCACGTCACGCACGCGTTCCTTCGTTCGCGTGAACGCCGCAGTTGAAATAATGATCGATTCTCGCTATCCCATATTCATTTTGTTTTCGGCTTTCTTCTTGTAGTTTATTTATTATTTCTTTTTCTTAACGTGTTAACTCCGAGAACTAGTTTTGTTAAATGATCCTGTTAAAATGCTAAAAGGAGAGAACAAAGTCAATTGCCTTCTATAAGATGCTGTTTAACAGAGAGAGAGAAAGAGAGAGAGAGAGAGAGAGAGATAATAAGCTTGATTGGATGTTTTTATAAATTTTTCAATTGCATTATCAATGTAAGTATTATTTCGATGTAATTCTAAAGAAATAATTGTAATACTTCATTCTCGATGGCACGTGCTATTCGACACGAAAATGAATTTCAATTGAAAGAACGATCTTTAACATTAAATTTAAATGAAATATATCGATTGTACACATTGTTTTATATATATATATATATTAAAATACGATATTGTTTCATTATAACATTAGTTCGTTTTCATATCGTAGATCGAATTTAATGTGAATTATTTTTAAAATAATTACTTATGATATTTCCTAATTACGAGTATGAAATAAAAAAAAAAAAAAAAATCCAAATTGACTGTGTATCTCGTATATCTAATGTATTTATTCGAGTTCGAAATTGGTATAATAAATTTCTGTAATATATTTATATTTCTATGAGTGATATTTACTTGAAAAATTTAATGTCATCGTATATCTATATAATTTTAAAAGGAAACGCCGATGAAACATTGAATTTACACGTCGACTTTATCTCTCAGTTTCTTTATAATAACTCAAACGTCAGCTTGTCTTCATTCTAAAAGTAAAAATTCGAGAGTTTGAATGAAAGTGGAAAAAAGAGAGAGAGAGAAAGAGAGAGAGAGAGAGAGAGAGAGAGAGAGAGAGAGAGAGAGAAAGAAAGATTGGTAGAAGGTAGCGTGTGAATAGGTAGTCGTGAAATAATTTTGGAGTCTGGTCCTGGTCCTGAAGGATAACACGATTCACAAATTAACCCGGCACCTCTCGCGTGATTTCGACGTTAGCTTTAATGGTCGATGAGTCACGCGATGGGAGACACACACGAAAAGTGCCACGACGTGCTTTATAATCCCACGTCTTAATTCGCCTTCTGCAAATTATCACTTTAGCAGTTGAATATCTTCTCGGACAATGGTTGATCTTCTGCGTTCTTTCATGTATTATTCTCTTCTTGACTTGAATAAACCTAATTAACTGTTTCTAATACGAATTTAATAAAAAAAAAAAAAAGAAATATTTCTTCCGTCATTACATATTAGTCATTGCTTTGAAAAAAATTGAATAAATGTTTCTTTAATAGATATATTATATAAAGTAAATATTAATAAAATGATTACATATAGATGAGACAGAGATGAGTATTAAAATTGAAGTCATTAAATATTTTTTAACGAATCAATAAGAACACTTTTGATGAAAACATTGATCGAGTTAGAAAAGAATATATTATTTAGAAATCGTTAGATAAATCGATAATATATTAGTATACCTTTTTAAGAACAGGTTTCGATTTTTTAGAATGGAAAAAAAAGGTTTTGCGGTTTTGATGCTTCCAGCATGAGAGAACACGCAGTCGGCACCTCCGGCGTGTAACTCAACGTGGCTGTGGCTACTCTATGCATACAGATTGCTGCTACCAATATCTTCGAGGAAGGGAAAAAAAGAGAGAGAGAAAGAGAGAAAAAGAGAGAGAGATAGAGAGAGAAAGAGAGAAAAAGAGAGAGAGAGAGCAGACAATTTATTGTGTGACGTAATTTAAGCCCTTTGTACGCCACGCACGAAGCTACCGCCGAATGGCTTTTCAAATTCTGACATCCCTTTTAAATGAACTGTAAAGGTCTTCGATCGGTCTCAGCGATATTTTCTTCGGAAATATTATATCGTCAAGTATTGTAAATAATATTATAAAATATCATTGTAAAATGTTGATAATAATATACAATTAATTGATAATAACTTATGATATTAATGACGTCGAATCGAATAAAAATATATCCCAGGAACGATGATATAATCCATTGAAAATATTTTTATTATAATAATAATCGTTAACGATTTTATAATATTAACACGTAAGTAAGTACACGTAAATTAATTTAATAGCGTACGACACGGCTTCCTTTACGAGTACGATATGAACGGAACGAAAGAGCTCGAACGACTGAATGTATAAATCAATGAGTCACGACCTTGCCCCCTGCTCGTTACGACGAGTAGAAGTCACCTTCTGTAAACAGCTTCGGCATATAAACAAATGGAAAAACAATTGTTGGAATATATCAATGCGTGTCTTACGTTTGTTTATATGTTATTATTCACTGTATAGATGTTACCATTGAACATTGGATAAGAGGATATGTTGATTCATTGAAATGAAATAAAGACACGACTAATAAAAAGCAAATTATATAATAGATATTATTTTATTTTAAAAGATTTCTCTCTTATATCTCAATATTTTTACGAGAAAAAAACATTTACGAAGAAATGAATTTGTTTAGAGAAAAATATATAAATTTCAAGATATTATTTAAACAATAAAAAACAAAAAAAAAATAAAAGAAAAAAGATATTATTTAATTTTTAAAAAATAAAAAAAAAAAAAGGAAAAAAGAAAAATATAAAGCAGAAATATAAGATCTTACTAAAAGCGTTCTTCTCTCGTTGAAACCTTGAAAATAAAAGAAAGAAGAAACGAGTAAGACGTAAACTATACAATCGTACGTAACTTCCTCTGTTACAACGAACCAAGGTAAGTAGGTACATAAATTTTTATCCGTCTCTCGTGTTCTCGTGTTTACAAGGCGTAATTAGTTGGAACTCGAAAAATCCGGTGAGACGAGGAGAACATTTTGGCTACTACTGAGAGAGACTTCCCTCTCTGGGCTCACTTTGCTTCGAGAGAATCGACAACGGTATTTCGTAGAAAATACCGCTTAAAAAAAAATCGATTCTTCTTCTGAGAGAAGAAAAGAAAGAGAGAGAGAGAGAGAGAGAGAGAGAGAGAGAGAGAGAGAGAGAGAGAGAGAAAGAGAAAGAGAGAAAGAAGAGAACCGATAACGAGGACAGAATACAAATTAAGGAACGTGTAATTGTAAAACGAGAAAGACTACTTGTTCTTTCCAATAAGAATGGCACATAAATTCGATTCAAAAATAATGAAATTTATTCATGAAAATTTGTTATAAAATTAAGTAAACAGTTTCTACTTTGAAAATTCTTCTTGATCGCTCGAGAAAGAGACAAAAAATCAAAAAAAGAAAAGAAAACAAAAATAAAAAAGAGTAAGAGATAGATAGAACAAGGGAAGACGAAATTCGATGAATGTAAAACGTCGGAGAACGATCTATCCCTGTAAATCTCATGGGACGAGTAATTTGCTTCAACGTGCAAGTTGTCGGAGGCCCCTTGGAAAGTAATTTTACGCAATGTTTACACTGAGTACGAAGTGGTCAGCAACGTATGGGAGGCACTCACCGAACAACATTCTAAAGATCCAAGAAGCTATCAACGTAAATCAATAAGGAGAACACTTTGGCGGCGTATCGACCAGCTGCCAAGAGTAAGAAAGACGAAAGAGATAATATGTTGAAAATAAAATAAAGAATAGAAAAAAAGAATGTTCAACATGTATTTTTTCGTAGCTATTATCTCTTTGTGATGTAGAAGAAGGGAGAGAGAGAGAGAGAGAGAGAGAGAGAGAGAGAGAGAGAGAGAGAGAGAGAGGGAGGGAGGGAAAAAGGGAGGATAGAGGGCAGAGGAGCCTTATATTTCACAAGAAATCTCATGGGCTCGTAAATATTAATCTTCCTACAATCGGCGAACATTTCTTCGTGGGCGTCTTTTATACGATTTCACCAATTAACGTGTATCTCGTTAGTTGCACGCTCGACCGACGTTAATTGCTTATCAGAGTGCCAATGATATTGCTCTCGCGAAGTATGGATTAAAGGTGTCGACTCGAACTTATACGTAGACAGGATGAGTCGGGAACATCCGGTTGTACAGAGGATGCCAAAAGTTTTCAATTCGTTCGAAAGGTTTTTAAAATGTTTCGAAAGAAAAATAATATTAATTTATGGGAAATAAAAGAATTTTTTACAATTATAATTAACAATATAAAAATGAATATAACTAATAATGAATAAATTATACATTTTATATATATATATATATATATATATATATATACTACGTTTACTTTAACGAAAGATTTGCAAAGATAAATGGAAGGATTATATACCGACAAAGTCGTAGCACAAGCTACCACCTAATAATATCACAGTTAAAAGCGTATTCGTAAAGCGCGTGTCGCGTAAAGTACGCCGAGGACGTAATAGCATGGTATTATCGTGTCTCCGGGGCTATCACTTGCGGTGTTTAAGGCCATCATTACGCGCTGACAGCGGTGCGCCACTGAGAAACGCCAAAGAAATTATCGCCCTTTTATGGGAACGAAAGAAGAGAAAGCGAGAGAGATGAAGAACGGCATGGGTCCTTACCGCGTCACTAAAATTTCTGTGCGCTAAGGAAAGATGATCGACGAGAAGACGTTTAAAATGTTTTCACGAGGAATGAGAAAGGAGAGTAAATTAATGTTATTCCGTAAGGAATTTCTTTGTAAATAATTCAAGAGAAATATACAATATAAGAATGAACTATGCGAGAAATTTCGATTTAAAGAAACGAACGAAGAAATTCTTTGGGGGGAGAGGGGAGGGAAATACGATATCATAGAAAAATAAAAATAAATTCCACGTAAGTATTCGAAAAATGATGGAAAAGTAAAAGTTAAAATAATCGAAGATTTAAAATCCGAGAAGAAGGTAGTTATAGTATCGAGAAGAAGAAAGCAAAAGAGACGAAAGTCTTTGGATGGTGAATGGTGTAGGCGGAGAGAGTCCGTTGGCTTGGCTCGAAGGACGAGCCGGCGGAAAAGGAGAGGATGCCAACGAGTGTCCAGAGGGAGAGAATAAGAGAAAGAGAGAGAGAAAGAGAGAGAGAGAGAGAGAGAGAGGAGAGAGAACGAAGGGGGCTTAATTAATGAGACGTACGCGGCAGCTGCAGATACCGAGATGCATTGTAAATACACTACACCCAGAAAAACTATTGTCCCCGAATGAGATTTATACCTGTCCCAATTACCCACGCGCGCTCTGGACGCTCAATTTTTTTCGTTCTTCGAATAATTCCTCGTGTGCTCCTTTTTGCCGTCGATACACCGGCGAGAGAAGAAGAGAGAGAGAGAGAGAAAGAGAGAGAGAGAGAGAGAGAGAGAGAGAGAGAGAAGATCGAAGACTCGGGGAGAAGCTGTGGGATGATGTTAGCTCCAGCAGCCCGTTATAGCTGTGGTTTAAGCTGGATAACGAATGGACGCCACGCGAAGCTGATCGTAAACCTTACACCCACGCTTTCTAATCTTTGTCGTGGATTCCTGGCGAGGTGAAGATCGAAAGAAGAAGTTGAAATCTCGTTCGAAAGTCCGACTAGAGAAGATACTGATTAATTAACGAGATAAGAAACGCTCGAAGCTCTCTCTTCCTCTCTCTCTCTCTCTCTCTCTCTCTCTGTATATATATATATATATATATGTATGTATGTGTATGTATAAAACAAAACAAAAAAAGAGAGAAAGAAAAGAAATGATTTTCACGTTCGAACTTATTTAAGAGAAAAGTATAATTTTTGAACGAGGATAAATAAATTTCGAAACTACTTAACTTCGACGGAGAAGAAGTTGGAAGTCTCAGAAAATTATGTGAAAAAATACACATGGATTTGAGGGTGGATAGCTTGTGGCTAAAGAACACGGGAACCGTCGAAACGCGTTGGAACTCGTTAATCCCACTCAGCGCTTTTGCGTTCGCCTCAGCCTTGAGCAAATTCGAGATTAAATTCATCAAAATCCAATCCGGAGCGAGCTCCCTTCAGGGCAAAAGCGGAAATGAATAATGCATAGATGGCACGCCGCCGTCTTCTTCTGCGTCCAATTCCTGTTGCCCTTCTTTCGCATTAGGCAATTTTTACGAGGACGCGTCGTTAGATCGACTATATTTCGTTTAAGAATACATTTGTTTCTTAACTATGGACGCTTTGATACATATGAAAGTTTTAATGATACTTTAACACGTTCTTAGGATGATTTTAATTCGAACTACAAAGAAAATTATTTTGATTAAAATGTATAAAACTATTTCAAATTTGTCGTAATATATATATTATGATATTTTTGTTAATTCGAAATATTAAATCGGTGTATACAACAACAAACTAAAGTTATGAATTGCGAGAAGTTTTCTTTTGGAAGAAGAAGGCCAACAATAAGGAAACTACAAAATAAAACTTCCGAGGAATCTCCAAGAAGATCCGTTTTTCATATCTGAGTGTCTCGCCGACAACAAGAAAAATTGCGAGAGACTTGTGCTCTCAGAATGCGAGATAAACAATAAAATATTTTCTCTCCCGTTCCTTTGATCTTAAATTCGCATTCTCTCTTTTTCATTCTTGCTCACACTTTTTACTTTTTCACTCTTTCCTCAACAGAAACCATAAAAACGTTTCTTCCACTTCATTTTCCAAGTCGAATAAATTCCACGAAGTAATATAATTTCCGTGAACTAATCGTTTCGATTCGATAAAGGAAGGAATAGAAACCCC